ATTGGATCAGGTTAAAATCATAAGAGAGTAAAGATGAGCCAATTAATTGTTGTAGCTATAATTGTGCCAAGAGACACAACTGTTCTGTTATTGTACTTTATTCTAATATGGCAACAATTTCAAACTGTGGCACAACGAAAAGCAAACCACGTTTGGATTTGGATAATCATTCTTATATTGTGGATCGATCAAAAGGCGAAAAAACCTATTGGCGATGCATTAAATACTCATCAGATCGCTGTCGTTCTCGTCTTCATACGTGTAATTTCACGAACGCTATCAAGAAGGGACCAACCGAACATACATGCAAAATCAATGGCACAACAGTTGAACTTAGGATTTTCAATGAAAGCATCGCCCATCGTGCTATTAACACTCAAGAAACACCCGACACTATCATCACAAACTGCTACAGAGGTACTAATACATAATGTTATTTTCTAATCAGCCCTTTTCTTATGATTAATAGGTCTCTCGGATCCATCGCTAGCTCGTTTACCAATACGCGATAATCTTAAACGTCGAGTACGAATGCTACGACAGAAAAACCAAATGGTGAAAGAACCCAATGATCCAAATTTTCTTTCTGTTCCTGTTAAGTTGACTACAACCTTACGTAACGATCAATTCCTTCGATGTGATACAGGACCAGGTATATTGAAAACTACTTAATGAAAGACCTTTTTCTAAACGTTCAATCTTTCTAAATAAAGGTGAAGACCGAATCTTGATATTCGCAAGTGATGAGCAAGTCGATATACTGCAAGATGCTGAAGAATTTTTGGTCGATGGAACATTTAAAGTCGTTCCTGAAATCTTTTATCAACTCTATATTGTCCATGGTGTATTTCGTGATCATGTTATCCCATTGGTTTATGCTTTATTACGTCGAAAAACTGCTGACACTTACAAACGTCTTGTCCATGAAATAGTGAATATTGCACCTCGCTGGTCTCCTCGCACTATTATGCTTGATTTTGAACAATCTTATATTGGAGCATTTAAATCAGCATTTCCTACTGTCCTGTTATCTGGTTGTTATTTTCACTTACGACAAAGTATTCATCGAAAACTACAAGTTAGTAAAAATAGTCATAATTCTCTTTCTATTACTACTTTTATCTTTTAATCGATTCAGGCACTTGGACATCAACAACAGTATGAGACAGATGCAGACTTCGCACACAACATTCACAAGATCGCTGCTTTAACTTTCTTGGACGAAAATGCTGTCGTAAATGGATTCGAGCATCTTTCAATGAATCTGACATCCGAGTTTGAAAATATACTAGATTATTTCGAAGGAACATATATTGGTAAGGAATGCTTTTCGCCTAAGATAGAATTCTTATAAAGCTACATCTTTAGGACGACTTCGATCAAATCGCACTCGACGAAATCCTCTGTTTCCAATCCCTTTTTGGAATATGCATACCAGAACAACTCAATCTATGATGCGAACCAATAACTCAGCTGAGGCTTACCACCGACGAATTGGTGCAGTCTTCCAGTGTGCACATCCAACACTTTGGATTTTCTTGGAGAAATTAATTAGTGAAGAAAATAACATTCACGCGGATATTCTTCAAGTATGTGCTGGTCAACAACCAAAGAAGCGAAAAGTAAACGAACGGCTCGAACGACGACTATTGAACTTGCTGTCGAACCCTCATCAGGATCTTTCGGCACAAATTAATGCAATAGCGTATAATATTTCATTGTAAGAATGAGTTCGACATTTCTTTCAAATAAAATTGAAAAAAAATTTCGATGTAATTAATATTGTGCTGATTGACCAGTGCGCTTAACTTTCTTGTGCTGAACTATTCATGTGCTCATCAATTAACGTGCTGAATTTTCATGTGCTGATTATTCCGTGCTCATCTTTCCGTGCTGATCTTTCCCGTGCTGAAGTTGCCGATTCCCGTTTTCTTGAAGATACAATGCTGTGATTGTCTAGAAAACATACACGAAATCAGCATTTGATCGTGAATCAAAGAATTTCTCTTACATGATTAATTTTGAGAGCTTCACTTATGTGTTGCAAGCCCGTATTGGTAATGTGATTGAGCCGGAGATCCAATTTAGTGATTGTCTGTGATGTATGAAAATGGTGAAGATGTGATAATGAAGTAAAGATCACTTCTCACTTGATTCATCTTCAGAGCAACCGCAAAATATTCTGCGCTTTCATCACCAATCTTATTCTCCCCAATATTCAACGTAGTAATAGTCTATAACAAATGAGGAGAGCTATGTTATGATAGCTAGAAGTAGTCATTTTAACGCACATGGTTCGTCTTCAGAAGATTAGCAAGGTGCTGTATTCCTTCATTGCCGATCCAGTTCTTGTCGAGAAGTAAAGTGTCAGTTGTCTATTAGGAAGAAGAATAATGTTGATTAAATAGATGAGTGTAAATTTGATCTGACTTTGAAGATTTTGAGTATATCGCAAACATCACTGACACCTACATCACCAATCTGATTGCATGCAAGGTTTAGTGTACGTAAGTCTTCCTTCACATGATTGGACTTCAGAACATTGGCAAGAAAATAGATTTGGTTGTCATCGATATTTCTTCGTCGGAGATCCAATCTGGTCGTTGCCTAAATAAAGGAGTAGAAGAGATCTTTTAACTTTCGTATGACGAAAGTAGGAGAAATCATTTCTCACTTGGGTTATATTTGGAACATTATGAAGTTGAAACACTTCTTCCGTGCTAAGACGGTTGTTCTGAAGATTCAAAGTGACAAATGTCTATCGTGAATACAAATATCATAGGAATGACAGATAAAGAGAAAGAGATCTGTTCGTACTTTATTTATCGTTAAAGCATCAGCAAAATCACGTTCTCCTTCATCACCAATACGATTGAGGGAAAGATCGAGACTCACGAGTGTCTAAAATATAGAAGAATATTGTAGATACGATGAATGTGAAGACATATTGTAGATACGATGAATGTGAAGACATATTGTGGTTACTTGATTAATCTTTAGAGCATCAGCAAGACAATGTGCTCCTTTATCACTGATTTGATTTCGTGAAAGATTCAATTTAGTGATAATCTACAATGAAAAGAATATTTTCGATTCGATAGACAATGAGAAATACTCGATTACCTGATTAATCTTTAAAAATTCAGCAAGATGGAATGCTCCATCGTCACGAATCTGATTTTGTCCAAGATCCAATACGGTAATTGTCTACGATGATAAAATCTCGTATTAATGTAGTTAGGTCGAAATAGAAAATCACCTGATTCGTTATCAGAGCATTAGTAAGATAATGAACTCCTTGAGCACCAATCCGATTGTTGTTCAGAATCAAAGAATTGATACTCTGTGATTTATGAAAATCATGTCGATGTCAAATAAATGAACAGATCATTTCTCTCACTTTTAACTTCTTGATAATATCACAAACAAGACGAATTCCGACATTGGTAATCTGACTGTCACACAGATCAAGTATTTTGACAGTCTGTAATGGATCAAATACTTGGAGAATTAAGGATGAGGATTATTTTTAACTCACATTATTGGGCTTCATGATACTCGCTATATATCGAACTTCATCATCGCCAGCAATTCTATGCTTTCGATTTCCTGCATTCAATGTCTGAAAGAGACGATTTTATTGTAAAAATCGATGAGACATTGTATCACCAGAGTAGTTTCCCAAGAGTTGATCAGCTGAGATACCGATATTTTATCAATCTGATTGCTTTGCGGTTGTAGTTTACTCATAATCTATAGTGAAGAGATAGTAGTGATAGATTAGAGGACTCTCTAACTTGATTGATATTCAATAAGAATCGAATAGTTCGTTTTCGTAAATAACTGATCGAGTTTTCGCGTATCAACATTGTTTGTAGTGTCTTTAATGGATCAGAGAATGTCGAAAATCTGGTAGATTATTATAGATTTTATCCAACCTGATTCATCTTCAAGGCATTACCGAGGTCACACCCTCCTGCATCATCAATTTTGTTGTATCGAAGGTCGAGACTCAAAAGTGTCTAGGAAGCAGGAAAATGTCATCGATCTACAGAAAATATAAGTTACAAAAACTCTCTTATTTCACTTGATTAATCTTCAGAGCATCAGCGAGATCCATCGCTCCCTCATCGCCAATTTCATTGTGTTTAAGATTCAATGTTACAAGTGTCTATTATCAATCACAATCCCATTGATCTGATAGACAACAAGTGAAGAGTCACCTAATTGACTTTCAAAGCATCAGCAAGACTTCGTGTTCCTACATTACCGATTCTATTTCCCAAGAGATACAGTGTGGTGAGTGTCTATCAACGGCGAAAACCACTATATAAATACAGTATTGATGAAGATGTTATGTGACCTTATTGATCTTCAGAGCATCAGCAATATGACAAACACCTTTGTCACCGATAGAAGTATAATACAAATACAGAGTAATGAGTATCTATAACATTGATTGAAACTATGCTTTCTATATGATGACTATGGAAAGATATTGACATACCTGACTGACTCTTAGAGCATCAGCAAGATAATGTGCTGTTTCAGAATCCAATCGCCAATGAAAAAACTTCAATGCAGTGATTGTCTATGATAAGCAAGAATGTTGAAGATTTATTAGATAAGTTGAGATATTTGGTCACCTTATTTATCTTCAGGGCATCAGCAAAATGGTACATGCCTTCACGATTGACTTCATAGTGGTGAAGGTGTAAAGAAGTGATTGTCTATCATGAATGAGAATATTGTAAATATGATAAGTAAATGAAGAGATTATATCACCTGATTAATTTTCAAAAGAACGGCCAGACGATTTGCTTCTTCAAGAGTAAATTCTCTCTGAGTAATAACGAGCGTAGTAATTGTCTAATAATAATAAATCAGTTTTATGGATATTCAAAGCTGAACTGAGAAAGATTGATTACTTTATTGCGATACAAGAGTTGAAGAGTTAATATCAATTTTGTGTTGAAATGGGGATACCGAAGACGATTCAAAATCTAAATAGCACATGGTACTTTTTCGCATTGGATTCGTACATACATATGTAGAGACGATCTTAAATATCTTTCATTTCCAGAATATGACACGTAACTAAGTCTCCAGGTTAAGCTATTTTCCAATGATGTCGTTTCTCATAAAACAGGATACACGATTTCGTTACAAAAAAAACTTACCTGATAGCGATGGTATGTGTGAATAATTGTATTAAGGCGTGTGGAAACATCCTGAACCGAAAGGAGAATGTCACGAGGATCAAGAAAATCCAAAATTCGATAAATATATTCCGTTGGTAATGTATGAAGAGATGGAATGTATTTGTTAGCCATGTTGATTGATACAATGTATATAAAGACGCAATATAATAGACATCTTTATATATATTGATGATGACATCATGTTTTACGGTGACGAAAAGCAAAGTAACAAAAGATTTCTCTTGTAATTTTTATTGTGAAATGACGTCAGACGAAGTAGCGGATAAATCTTTTTTCTCGTTCTTTCTATGAGAGAGCACAATGCATCACTGATAAGCTCTCACAGGGGGAATGTCGATATTAATTCTAACGATCACTTTTGAAGTTACATATAAATATCTTCACTAAATAACAAACGAGACTTCGTAGTTCTTTGAAATGTTCTTTCATATTAACTCTCGAACACTAGTGGATTGTTTAAGACAATCATTTTCGACGGATCACAACATATGTTACTCAACGAAATGGATTCGATTGTTATTTGTCATCTGATACACAATAACATTCGTTTCTTTGTTCTCTTTCTATAAATCGATGAGAATAAACAAAGAAAAATTCATTTTCATCATTTATGTGAATTCAATATTTTGTATCGAATTCGCAGCAAATGCAAAGATTCGAACTTAAAATCAGCATACGTTTTTGATACCATTAGTCAATTTGCAGAGCCCAAATTAAAACGAGATGTGGTTGATAAAAGTGAAGAAATTTGGGTGGAAACGGATGTTGCTCATCCTCGTTTTCATCATCTCAGCGAACGATGTGTTCAGCAATCAAGGACAGTCGTTAATAATTGTTGACTCGTATGTATATAATGACTTCATGTTCTCACTCTTCTGCGTTCATATTCATAGTATAACCCTTTTCTCAGAGAAATGAACTTATCACCTCTTAATTCACCTCATAACAAGTTCAAACAGGGCGGGACTTTATAGTGTCGCAGAGACTATTAAAGAGTTTTCATAATATACTGTACAGTGTTGTCGAGGGCGAGTTGTCTGACTCTCGCCTGAATAATTAATCAAACATAAAACTTGCTATAGCGTTGTTTTGACGCAACAGATAGAAATATGCACTCAGGAAAATCTTCTGAAGCACTTTTCTCACTGTCATCAAGATTCTTACAGATACTAATTTGATGGATTCTTACCACATGCCTTGTTCTTTATCCATCGGCTACTCTTAATTGATTAAAATCACTATTCCAAAGCAACGATAACTGTTTCATCTTAAAACATACGTTTTTTTAATCAACACACATGTGAATTCTATGGAATGACATACAATTGCTCATACATGTAAGCTTGAACTTGTTCAATCTTTTCTCATTGGCATAAAGTAAAGTGCCAACGAGAGCAGCTGTAGTCGTTCAGCTTACTATCCATCTTTATCAACTATGATAGTTAGTCGACCAATTTTGATTAAACGTACACATCACCGTCTAGGTTTATCACGCCGAAATCTGGTCGCTTGTATCGTATATAAAGGGCCAAGAGTATCTGCATAGCATAGCATCGAGTTGTCGAAGGCTAAAATTTTCTGTCAAGAGCTGGTATTTCCTTTATATGAACTTTTAACCACTCTTTTGACGATCTTTTTCTATCCTTGAACCCGCTCAAAGTAGTATCTTTAGACTTTTCCAAATTTTCGGAAATGTGTTTTTATCCTTTGTCTTCTAACCTATTCTCGATATTCAGAAAGACTTTCAAGAAAATGTTTTTATGCTGATATAAACAAACCATTTCACTTCTTTTCGCATACACCCTTCTTTCAGTCGAGGGAATAACCAATAAGCACATAAGTTTAAAATTAAGAGGCAATTGATGAATAAATACCACCACCCTCATCCTCAGATGATTTTGGGCAAAAAACTCTGCTTTCATCAAATTACTTCAGGAGAAAATTAATATTCTAAGAAATAATCCGATTACGCTGTCATAACCACAGATAATTATGATTTTTTCCAAGAAATTCACTGAATGCAAATTCCATACTCAGAAAAGTGAAGTTCCAGTTTCAAAATGCGGAGAGATTTTAAACAGTTGATTTTTATCCACTAAAATAAATGCCTTTAAATTTCGTTCCTAATTATATCATAAAATACATATGTTTTCATATGGCAAAAGAAAATCAATATACGAACTGGGAAATTCGACATTCTACTGCTAATTTAAAACATTACTTTTTTATAGAATATTTTTGACGACAATAAATAAAATACAGTTCAATAAAAATCTGGAAAAATCCGGAAGTCAAAAAGAAACCAAGAAACGGTTGGAATATCCGCCAATGCTGTTCATTAGTCTCTTATCAAAAACATATATAATATGCGTTGTTTTTCATCTGTGATTACTTCATTTGTTTGACATTAACAGTTGAAGAAAGCTCATTTTATTAATTATCTCAAACATTCAATATTAAAATGTCTTCGTCTACTAACATACTCGCTACAATGCAACTAGTACAAAAATATTTATATCAATTCGGTGGGCCAGTATTGATATTTATTGGTACCATTGGTTGTATATTAAATTTAATTGTATTTAGTCAAAAGAATCTAAGAAAAAGTCCATGTTCAATCTATTTTATTGCCCACAATTATGCTAATTTTGTGTTCATTTATTTTTCATTATTATTTGCAACATTGAGTCTTGGATATGGTATTGATATTAGTACAAAACATATAGTTATATGTCGAATTCGTCTTTACATTACCATTTTATCCAATGTATTAAGTCCATTTTATTTAGTTTTCGCTTCTATTGATCGAGTTGTAATTACTTCACAAAATGCTCTTACACGACGACGAAGTACTCGTCGTATTGCTTGTATATGTATTGCTATTGGAACATTATTTTGGACATTATTGCATACTCTTATATTAGTTTTCGCAAATATTATACAAATTGGCCCTAATGCATTTATTTGTTATTTTCAATTAAGTGTTTACGTTTCATTCTTAAGTTATTACTCACTTTTCCGAGCAATAACTGTACTTTCGTTAATGATAATATGTGGAATATGGTCTATCAAGAATGTTCGACATCTTCAACAAGTTAGACCAGCTGCCAGTCTGTCTGCAACTGTAGCAACTGATCAGCATTCTCATTCATCAAAAGATCGTCAACTTTTCTTTATATTACTGATCGATATTGTCATCTATGCATTATTTAGTTTTGCATTTGCATTTTATCTCATCTATCAACAAATAACACAAAATGATATTAAAAATGCTGGGCGAACACAAATAGAAACTATTAGTAGTAATCTATGTCAATTTAGTGGTACTATTCCATTTTGTATTAGTTTTTATGGAAATTTCATCATATCGAAAACATTTCGAAATGAAGTCAAGAAAATACTTTCATGTCAACAATGTTTTCGTCTGCATTAAATTTGAATTATTTATGTTCTACGAACAGTTGAATGTTGTCATTTCGTATTGTATTTGCATAAATAATAAATAAAATGAAAACATTGTAAACTAAACGAATTCTATCGGAACACTTTTATACTAAAGGTGCATTTGCCTTTAGACTTTTGTCTGTTTTCGACTTAGTATTATTTTCTAATCTGCCAGATGTCAAATAAATACTTTTCTCTTCATGTAAAAGATCACATACTGTTTGTCTTATCAAAAGATTACTGATGAGAAGGTTATTGTAAACTTATCTGGTGTTTTTTCTTCTAGAAGAACCCTGGTCAGTAAGTTGAAAATAATATAACTTGGTAGAGTAAACACCACTCTGTCTAACTACATCGAAATAAAAACTTTCAAGTTTCGTTTACTCAGAATAGATTATGCAAAACTATTAAAAATAACATAATCAACCTGTATATACTGATATATTTTTGTTCCGTTTCTAATTGGGCAACGTGCACGATCAGAAAATAATACTTCGAAATTGAATTACATATGCCCTCATAGAATTCTTCGAAGAAATGTTCTTACACAACTGTATCTGTATGATCTATTGAACAACATTTTTCACTTGTTCATATCGCTCTAAATGCTACACTTCCTAACCATAAAATCCGATAAATGCATGAAAAACTAAAAAGAAAATGTACTTTTTATGTTTGATTCCTTTACGATGTTCTGGCAATAAAACAATGCGTGTACTGAAAATAGAAAACTTATTTCCTTTAAATT